TTGAATAAGTACACCCAGCCCTCGTGCTGCCTACAAAATGCTGGCATCCCAACCACAGGGGTCGTGCGACCAATCCCCTTTACTACCAAATGTGCATTCTGTAGGAGGGTTAACCCCCACGATTCTGTAGGCTCAATACCATCACTGATCTCTCGCCTGCGTTTCGCGCACTCGACACGCACGATCTCCGCAGAGGGTTGCGCGAGCACATACCCCATCGCGCTCTCGCCTGCATTTCGCGCACTCGACACGCACGATCTCCGCAGAGGGTTGCGCGCGCAGCCGGCAAATCGCACTCTCGCCCGCATTTCGCGCACTCGACCCGCACGATCTCCGCAAAGGGTTGCGCGCGCAGCCGGCAAATCGCACTCTCGCCTGCATTTCGTGCACTCGACACGCACGATCTCCGCAGAGGGTTGCGCGCGGACCCGGCGCATCGCACTCTCGCCTGCATTTCGCGCACTCGAAGCGCACGATCTCCGCAGAGGGTTGCGCGCGGACCGGACAAATCGCACTCTCGCCTGCATTTCGCGCACTCGACGTGCGTGTCGAGATCTCCGCAGAGGGTTGCACTTTCGGTTGACGCTGTTCGTCCCACCCTCCGCCTTTAAGAGGGAATTTATAAAGTGGGGAAATGTTTTTTCATTAGGACATCTCCCGTGCTAGTTTTCCATATTCACACTTGCCTACTCATTTGCATGCTTGCATATACTCATTGCATGCTTGCATACCCATCACTTGCATACTTACACTTGCATACTTCTTGGATGCTTTCCCTCTTCCGCTTACACTGGGGTACGTATAGCGTCATGTTGTAGTGCAAGTGTGGTGGAAGTGTCAGTGTGTAAGTGTAAGTGTCGAAGTGTCAGTGTTCAAGGGATTTTCCGGAAGAACCCTTCGCAATGCTTTCGGGAAAAATAACATCCCAACTGTGTGGCACGCACCCTTCTCTCAAAACACCGTTGTAAAGCACCAGCAAATCCTCCAGCAAATCGTCGGGAATGTATTGTAACAGTTCGGCTACCAATCCAATATCATCTCCACTTCTGTTTGCCTTTAACTGTTTGGTTGCACATTGCAAATCACCGAGTTACAAAAGCCCAAGAAGGTTCCAGCAAAGCTTCCGGTTTGTCAGGCGGCTGGGAATTTCCTGTGCAAATGTGTGCCAACAAATTTGCGAATTCAACGGCTGAAGGCTGCTCCACCATGAGTCGTCCAGACATTCTCGCCTCCAAGTGCCGGAGTGACTTCCAACACAAAATTGGATTGAATTTTTCTTGTTTTTGTTGGCTAGGGAAATATATCTTCCCCTCTGGTCCTGCTGTCAGGCGCCAGCCTTTTGTAGGGGCACGCGGGGATGGTATCCAGAAACGCCACCACATCCGACTCACGTCGGGTACCTCGCAAGGTGGTGGCCGACCCGGATTGCTCCGTGCGCAAAGGTTGCGTAAGGAACGGTCTTCTTGAAAGTCCGTCCACTGCAAGTCCTGGATCTGCGAGGCTTCGGGCCCCCGCCCGCGGCTTGGTCAGAGCGGCTTTTCGTGTTGGACACCACGGATGGAATCGTAATATTTTGTACTATGAATATTATTATTACAAGTATTATTTCAAAAGGGGCTAACGCGACTGGAAGGAGACGTGCTCATTGGAAACCTTCTGCCTCTTGCCTTTCGGAAGGCAACACGCCCCTTTCGCCGAGGATAAAGCCACTGCAGTTTCAGAGCCCGGGATGTCTGCCTGCGTGGCCTCCTTGGTGGAACATCCTCCGAGGTCCCGCTCCGGTTTCGGGAGCCCGCCATAGAATGGGCCGCCGACCGCACCAATTCCAGGTCAAGAGGTCACCGCACATGCTCATCGGGTTCCATCGCAATTATTGGTTTAACGATCACAGTCCGGATGGGAATCTTCACGCCTGCTTTGGGTGCCCGCCAGCTGGAGTTTGGGGATGTTCAGGGCGACCTCTCACCAAATTTTGGTCACCACATTGCGTTTCTCCCTGGTACAAAGATCCGCCGTGGACTCCGTTTGCCAGTCGCCGCCTTGTTGGGGGCCGATGGTAGAACAATGATACTTCGGGACGATCAAGAAAACAGGGCAGAAACGCAGAAACGCAGAACCCGTCTTGGTTGGCCAGGCCGTCATGAGTCATCTCCAACGTCTGAAAAGCCACCTCCCGGGATCGGGCAGGCGCGCTGCAGGTCATCGCACCTCGCAATGCAGCCCACCTCAAAGTTGGGTTTCCAGTCGCTGTGGGGGCGGGGCCCCTCCTGGCCCGTTCCACAGGCCGTCGAAACACGAACTCGGTGATTGGTGGCTTGCTTGATTTGCACAAGCCGGGGCTTGGCTCATGGCGACAATGCGTTCGGTCAACTCCCCGTCTGCTGGCGCACAGGAGGTTGCAATCAGGAACTTGAGGAGGTAGGAGCCGCCGCTGCCATCGAGGCTGCCGCAAGTTCCATGGCAGCATCCCCCGCCGTCTGGCCCACAGCGCCACGGGCAACTGTGCCATCCGGAGGGGGGACATGTGAGGCCGACATAGTGCCGCCAGCCTCTCCTGGAGCTCCTCTGGCCTGGGAAGTTCCCATTTGACGAAATCACCCAGAGTGATAGTTTCCGAATCATCACTGGGAAGGATGTGCCAGCCAAATCACAGTTCCTCCAAGGGGCCCAGAGTGAACGATGTCGTATGTAGGGACGGTGGAAACCGATGTGCACGCAGTCGTTGGACGAACAGGGTGGCCGTCGCCGAATGTGGACGGATGGCGCTGTGCTGGGCTGGGTGGTCTGGGGTGGTCCGACGCTCGTTTCCAGAAGACGAACTAACATCGACCGGAGGGTGTGCGCAGGGAGCTGCGCTGCCACGCAAACGGGCGAAGCGCCGGCGGCAATGCAGGGTGGAAGGGCAGTGGAGCGGTGGCTTCTTCCAGCCACATCCAGGCACCATGATTGAAACCAGCAAAAACAAGCATCAAACAACTGGTTTCAGGGATATCACGACATGATATCATACTTTCGTACTACCATACACCATGGGCACCAAACATGCCTTCCCTCGCGCTGCAGACGTAGGCCGTAGGACATAGGGCACCTTTTGTTGCGCAAACACTTCGAAGTCGTACGGATTTGTGCAAGACGGTGATGCCACTTATATACTGCTTTCACACACCCGAAAGCTTTCACACGCAGCAATGACAAGGGTTGAATAACGCTGGGATCCTTCTGACCGAGCTCCTCTACTGGAACGACTCTAGACAACGATTGCAATTGCTTCATGAGACATCCAGAGTCCGGTCGCTTAGCGAACAGCCTGTCGCTTCATCGCAAACAACATTGACCGGCAGCAAGTTCATTGGGGGTACCAACAGACCTGTCCTGTCTTCTGTGCAAGACCTGTGCAAGACCTCTGTGTAGCTACATGGCAGCAATCGAGAAGGGCTTGACAAAATACGCAACGAATGCAACGAATTTAGCACACTCAACCCAAGCCTGATTCAGAAGGCACTCGACCTCCTACAGCATTGCAACATGCCCGTCTTACTGGCCGTCGTAACCTGGCCGTCTTACTGGCCATCTGCAGAGAGCGAAGTAAGGGGACAAAGCAGTAGGGCTCTGGATTGGCTGGATACGCAAGATGCAGAAATTCCACGCTTGAAAATGTTTGAAAGTGTATGGACTCGTGGACGTCTAGAGTCTAGAGCTGATCCTTCAAAGGCATCCACAAACAGCACACCGGACGGTTTTCACGGCGCACGCATCGCGCTGCAAGTCGCTGCCAGTCTTTTGGTCGCGAGCGTTAACAGAGTCTGAAGTCCGGGGATTGCTCCTGCTTGGACCCTTCAGCCCAAGAAAAGCACTGGGCTCAAATATCTCAAGGAACCGAGAAACACCAACTTTTGCATGTGCAGAGTTGGACACCCGCTGATGGGGACAGTGTTTGCTTTCGATTCTGTCAAAGGGGCAGTTATCAAAATGCATGGAACAAAGTGATTCAACGGATTTGGATGGATTTCCCTTGACCGTTGCTTTTGGTCGCTGACTTTAGAGCAACCCCGGACGGTCAAAGTCACTCGCCACGCGCAAGCCCAGGGGTGCTGGGTTTCTCGTCACGAGCCGCCTGCCAAAGAAGGAATTAAAGATAATTAAAGCAAAAACGCTCAAGTGATGAAGAGTGATGATCAACATGACGGACATTGACAAAGTCAATCAATTCAATAGCCATAATTACATGCAAATCAGTATAAATATGCTAAATTTCGATGCATGAATGTCCTTGCTATATAAGTAAGTATATCAAGGTTACACAAACGCATGAATCTCAGCAAGGATGACCTGTCGACCCAGCCTTTGAAAAAACTGTCGACCAACGAAAAAATCAGACCCAACTGATCTGGTGGACCAAGCAAAGGGATCGATGGTGAATCTTCCTCTCCAGCCAAAAGTGACACAGCATACACCAGAGTGGAAATTAGATGGAAAAAGAACCAATAATATAACGTGGCCAGGATTCCAACCACAAAAAAAGTTAGACATACATATATATACATATTAATATTAATTATAGTCTATACACTAGTCTTTACATGTCTTTACTGAACAACTACAACACCAGGTCCACCATTTTTGTTTACATGGTCTTGGAAGGCTAGGGCAAAAAGTAGAGCTCAGTACTAACGCCTCTAGAAAGGTTGCTGAACCCCAAGAATGATCAAGAATGGCTTCATGACACAAATCGATCTGATTGAAACACGCCTTGCAAACGCCTGTGCTTCTTGAGTCGAGTCATTTGTGTGGGGAAGTCATCCGTCAACTGCCATTGGGATACTTACTGAGTTCTCTGTCAAACCATAATGAATGATCATGGTCATTAAAGTGCCAGGTGAGTCGTCACTAGGTGGACATCATCCCTTATCACAAACCGCCTGAAGCAGCCACCTCCATGCCAATGCCTGAAAGGACCCCACAGCCACAGCCGCTCCAACCCACTGCCCTCCGGTCGCCTCTCAATGCACCACGTTTGCGTCAGATTTTGGCTTCGCCAGAACCTCGCCAGAACCACGAGCTCGCACGGCCGAGTTGAGGCGGTGCCCTCATTTATACAAGTTTTATAGTCCAACTGCAGGGGCTTTTCTTTCATCCACCGTCGATCTGAAGACGTCGGAGCCGACGCGGGCTCCAGGGTCCTGCGCTACGGCAGAACTTCGTGGACGGTCTCCGTACGTATGTCTAAGTCCATGGGTGTCGGAGAGGGTCGATGTTGGGTCGTTTCTTCAAAGCGTTGTCCAATGAACTCGCATCATATCCCATACACTCCATGGGACTGCCATATAATATGCCTACATTGACCCCCCAAACCACCACCCTAATTGGAAAACCTCAGGCCGTTGATCACGGCCCGGACTCCACGGAACCCCTCAGCACGGCGGCGTCTTACGGCTTCTCATGGCGGATCGCCTGTTGCAGTCGCGCATCCATCATCTGGAGCCGCGTGTCAAGTGCACTGACCTCGGAGTCGCGCAAGGTGCGCCGGCAGGTGTCCCACAAGGGCAGGACGACGCGGGGGGGGTGATACGGAGTGATTGGGTCTGTTCATCTACCCATTTCCTATTGAATCTATAGACCAGGAACAAAAGGGAAAAGACACAATGAGGAAAATCATCACACAACAAAGATTACTCTTTCCATCTCTTTCCACTTCAAAAGTAACATGTCTTTAACAAAGGACACAGGACTTGCAGCTCCCAAGTCGAAAGCGAGAAAACCTTCTCCACATTGACAGCCCATCGAAGGGCTCTCGTCCCACACCAGGTGCCCCGCCTGCTGTGCGACAGCATTGAGCCCCCGAGCCTCAAATGGAGCCGCTCAAATGGAGCTCCATCGTTCCGGGATCCGATGAGTGGAAAGGGGTTGGGAGTGGGTGGCACTTGCGCTATGATCAGAATCGATCATGAATTAGGATTAGTCAGGGGGGACTTTTCTGAAAAAAATAGAACAACATAAGAACAATCTATTCTTTTCACAAGCGGGAGAGCTCAAGTGAGTGTGTTGCATCTGGGATCATGTGGGGGGCACCGGGCCCTGTCGGGGCGATTCGATTCTGGCAGAATTGCAGTTTCTAGTGGCAAAGGTTGGTCTTTCATTCTATGGACCACTAATCTGCAACAGGTCTACGTGTAATAGCTCGGCACAGAAAAACCTTGCAAACCTCATACCCCTGGAGTATTTCTGGTCCAGGGTGGAGTTTACTGACGATGAAACAAAATGAAACTGTAAACTTCTACCAGTTTTGACTTCTGTGCATCCTGGACTATCCTATCTGAGTATCAATATAGTTCAATATAGCAAAGCATAATAAAACATATACATATCAAAAGAGACTCCCCTCTTATGAAAGGCAGCACTGGCTCACAAACTGGTATGGTCGATGCTGGTCCTCTTGAGAAGGCCATCGCTCCTTGAGGGCAACCCTCAGCCACGCAGTTGAGCAACACGGCTCAACTTCTGCAAGGCAGGAGGGCTCTTCGCAGCAAACCCCATGGTTTTCCCCGGAAGGCGGAATGTTCCGGCACGGGTCAACCGGCACGTGCCGGGATCGGCAGGTGCCGGGATCGTTTTGCGGTCCGCGTGACAGTCCGCGTTCGCTGCTCCGAGAGGCAAAGGATCTCTTTAGCTCCAAGATGGACCTCAGTGATCGATGATCGATGGATCAAACCATGATCAATGCAGCGAAACCAACGACGCAAGTCTTCCATGACCAAGTGGTAGGAAGAACAAACCATACCAGGTCCTCCAACGAAGCAAAAACAAAAAAAACAACTGACAGGAGGAGGAGGAGGAGGAGGAGGAGGAGGAGGACGCATGCCCCAAACCCAAAGTGGGCTGTGAAATTTGGGTTACAGTCCCCTCCATGACAAAAGGATAGAATTGGAACACAGCTTCCTGGAAAGTTATCAAGTTATCTGCGTGTACCAACATGAGTCTCTGAACATCCATGTTTAGTGGATAGATCGAGTATGATAGAATTCACACTAGCACCAAGCACTGTGGTGGTTGTTAGACTTAGACGTGGGTAAACGATCCCTCATTCCTCACAAAAACTTCCCCTATAGACAGCATGGCAACAGCAACAATGTTTTTTGGTGGCCCTCATTCCATGCAACTGGCACTCATTCTCAGTGCTTCGTCATTCCAAGCAACATGCTCTCCTTGTCTCCGCTCCTCACCCCTCCACACCCCGAGGAGAACCCTCGCAGCTCAAGTTCCGCGCATGGGCCGTAGCTCAGCGGAGACCTGGACCATCCCATAGAGGAGCTCCTGAGGGCGCGTGCGCGATGACACGCGTGTCATCGGGTGCTATCAATTGATACTGAAACGGGTCTGGGATGTTCTTCTTTAACTTTGATGAGCTGTCAGGGCGGTCTAATTATTTGCTCCAACATCAACCTTCCATGATCAACGCAAACATCGTTCCACATGCCCTGCCTTAAAAAAAAAAAAAAAAAACGCACGTCGCTATGAAAACGCCTTGGCCCTCCAAACATCGACGACGGTTCGCCTTTTTGCTGCGAGCGCGTGCACACGGATGCTTTGGGTCGGGGACCCTTAGGACCTTGTCCTCTACCTCCTCTCGGTCTCCTCGATCTCCACGATGTTGGAGTCCTCATAGTCGACCAGGTCGAAAATGGCATTCAAGTCCTCCCAGTGTTTTTTTCAAGGAATAGAGCACATGCGCATACATGCGCCCTCTTGTTCCTAGTAAGAATGCTCTAAGAATGCTCGATGCCAGGAGCCCCTAGTAGCGTCCTTGCTCCTAGTAGCGATGGAATAGAGCATATGATGGATGCCAAACGTCGTCCCAAAGCCTTTCCGGTGTTGAAGAGGAAGTTGGATTCATATGCATCCCATCCACTGGAGACCCCTTTCTGGGCGAGTGGCCCCTCAATGGCCGGATGATTGCGCTCTGGGATGTAGGCAAACGGAGAACACCAAAGTCAGATCAACATGCAGAGGAAATTTACACGGAATAATATGTCCTCCTTGACCGAACCAAGAATGCTTGCAAATGAACAATGCCGTTGATGGTGCATGACAAACTAAACAAACATTACTACTATATACATCTATATATATACATACTACTACAGGGATTATCAAGGGTATGTGTAGAAATGGATTGAAACTCCTAGGACTACATATAATATCTCATACCAAACTGTGCACTTCCCTCCCTGTTTCGCCTAAGGGTTGTGATCCATCTCTGAGCACGGATATTTGGATATGTGTTTTACGTACATCTCTAATCAAACCTCATCGCATCTCTTCTGGTCACTTGCGACATTTGACACTTGTCCATCGTGGGCCAACACCAATCTTTTGGTATCTTTTGGAAAGGGACTTGTTACAGTACGATGCTGAATCTGAAGAAACTCATCCGTCGTGCCAAATCATTGACCGATATGATATATGCAGAAGCGTTTGCTCCCCTGCGCATCACGCGGGAAACTCCCTCTGTATCTGTCGATATCCGGCTGTGGCCGCTTCAGCGATCGTAGCACATCCGGATGACTCTGATGGAATGACCGTGACAGTGGGAACCCACGGTGCAGAACTCTGATGGAATGCCCCCCATACACCAGAAGAACCAAATGGATTCCTCCAAAACACTTCGTCACCTTGCAGGACAGCGAGAATATAGACTTTGATTCAAACCATCTTCAACTATCTTCAATTATCATGGTGAATCCTGTGAACAACAATCGAGTTACGGCATGCCGAGCATCTCGGCGTTCGTTTGTACGACCGTTTCGGGCCTGGTCTCGAAGATGCATGCAGTCCGTTTCGCACATGGCCAGCACCTCGCTGATCGGGAAGGAACGGTCTTTCGACGGTTGACTTGGGGCCTGGATCAACTCGGGGCGTGGATGGCGTGGATGGCGTGTGTTGCAAATCCAGTCAAAGTATCTCCCAGCTCAGATGGTGGGCTCCGGGTGTCCGGTTCCCGGAATGGTGTTTCCCACCATTCCGGGAACTGGACACACCCTACCCTCAGATGGTCTTGAACATATTTGTGAAGTTGGGCAGTGTGCAAACATGTGCCAAGCCATTGATGATGTTTGAAGCGCCTAACACCATAAATGACACGCCTAGTGGAAGCCTGCCATACCCCATTAAAGCCAAACAATACCAACAAAAATCAAAAAGAAGCCTGTGGGGTGGCCATTGGGTATCTGAGTTCGCTTCAGATGACCTTTTGCAGGTGAGGTGAGTCATTTTCAGGACGACAAACCATCTCGGCATGTCCTGTCTTTGGTGCTTCGACATTTTCGCTGGCAGGGAGGCCGGTGTCAAAAGTGTCGCACTTTCATCTTCAGCCAAAAACTCCTCAAACGCACTTTGCTTCCGCCCACATTCCAATCATGCAACTGCAATATACTACAATATAGTGTCACTGCCTCATACTGCCCCTGCAGCAGTTCACTCTGCCTCTTCCTGTAAAGCATCCCCCCCGAGTTGAATCACGTCCCCGACATCCCTACCGACACAGCAGCTCTACAGGCGCCCACGGGCCTTCTCCTTGCAGCTCTCGAACTGCGATTTCTCAATGAAGGCAGAATCTTCACTGCTGTGCTCCTGGTGACTTCTTCACGCAGCGTCGGTCGCTCCGACCCAAGTTCAGAAACTTGCTAGCATGGTGCTGTACTGTTGCCACTAACTCAATCAAACGGAAACTCATCAGACTTGGCATGCTTATTGAACCATCACTTGCTCCTTTTCATAGACTCCAGCTTTGCAAAAGATGCAAAAGCCAGCGCAAAGGCGGGCGCAAAGGGCTCAGTTCAAACAACTTCTGAGCTCTGATTGTTGTGTTTTGATTTGTCCCTGATTGCTTTCAAAGTAAGCCAGGGTGAGGCCCCAGCACCCAACCTTTGCTGAGCAGGCGTTTCTGTGACATTTTGCCACAGGGCATGCTGGATCTGTGTATGCTGAGAGTTTAAGAGGTTAGGTTGAACCCAATGCTCGCGAAATCTCAGGTTCTCTTAATTAGAAAATGGTGGAGGAAAACTGCATAGGACTTCTGCAAATCTCTGCTGACAGTGGGCAGCCTGCTCATCAGCTACCCTTCGTGCAAATACCAAACTATATGTCCCACAAACAGGTGGAACAAGCCGATGACCAGGAAGACCGATATCTCCAGTATGTGCTCCACATTGTCGTTGCCGTCCATGGGAAAAATGCGATTGTCAATGAACATGGACACGCTGTGGCAAACACCATGAGCCGCAAAGAAGGCTACGATGGAGTTGTTCACCTGGGGCAGGTTTGTATTGTGTACTAACTATCATGGACTAGCAATTAGAATATACGGAATCTTGAAATTTAGGAACTAAAATTACTAGTCAACTCATTGGACCCCGAGTTAGAATATGGGAACAGCCAGTCCAGTTAGACAATGGGAAACCACTCGTCATGTAGAGTCATTAGGCCCCCCCCACCCAAATCACCTTGTCGGATGCAGCTGGAGCCCTTAAAATCCATGTGAGCATATGTGAGCCTTTCCTTTTTGCCTCGAACGGATCCCGTCTTCGCGAGGCCTTGGGGTTCGCAGCCGTCAGAAAGAAGGCCAAGGCGAAGGTGGCGAAGGTTCCACGCCAGAGGAGCTCTGCATCAAGATTGTAAGGGTGCCACCTCACCCACTTCTGCACACGCTCCCAAGGGCCAAAGATGGGCATGATGAGGCCAAAGGGCAAGAGTGAAAAAACAATGGTGTAGATCTTCACTCGCAGTTTCATGACTGGGTCGGTGAGGTGCCGGTAGGCTCCCTTGCAAAAGTCGATCCAAGCAAGGCTCCGCAGGGGCCAGGCCAAAACCAAAACGACCACAATCAATGCCAATGCAAGGCCCAGCTGCAGCCACAGGCCTGCAAGGAGGAGAGCTTTCTTGAAATTCTTTCTGAGTTTTGGGGCATCATATTTGCTTGGACAAACGATTGTTGCAGCAGGCCTGTGATCGCTAGAAGGACACTCTGAATCGTGAGCCACATGATAGCCATCAACAGCAGTGGCTGTAGTCGCAAATACGTCCCACCGTAACACTGCAGAAGAAAAAGTGGGGAAGGGAAGTGAGGTCAAGTGGTGCCACCTAGGGAACGACTGGAGGTCCCATCTCTTAACATCTTCCTGGTGAGTCGCATGCGATGGTAGGGCTGATTCACCATGCCCTTTGAAGACCAAGTTCCTGGCCAGTGACCCGAGTGGATGGACGACAGGTCCCGGAAAGGGTTGATCTGAAGTCTGATGACCAAGGCTTGGGAAACCAACAAATCTGACACCAATCTGACACAAATTCATCCCCTTTTGAAGTACCCAGATTCTCTGGAAGTGGATACGTGTGAGGTGGAAGAGACAAGTTGTACGATGCCAAGAGCTGCAATTCGCCATCGCCCGCCGTCCGCTAGCTTGATCTCTGCGCCATCTTTCAGCCTTGGCAGTTCGGTTCTGAACTTCCCATGGGAGTGCTTTGGCTTGGGTGAACGTAGGGGAGGCCTAGTAGAAGCCACACGAACATACATGCATCCAGAAAAATCTAAAGTTGCATGTTTATATACAAAAAATGAATGTTAGCATGATGTTATATATGAGAGTTTAAAACAGTATACCCACACCTCATGGACGCTCCTAAGTAGGGCGAACCTATCCCCTATGGTTTTGTCCAAGCAACTCGGGCCCCCTCTCCTCATCCTTGTCCAGAGTATCCCTCCCGATTGCAGTGGCAGTAGCCATGGCAGCGTCGGCTCCACAAAAAAACAAGTGGGTTCCGCACGATGTGGCCAATCGCAAAACACACAAAAAGAAGAAAAACGACCCACATCGACCTTTCGTGAAATCCAAAGATTCTTGAGAAGTCGTTGGCTCTTTTGGGGATCCACCCTCCACCTACCCCAGGAAAAGGCCGAAGGCTCCTCGAGGATCGACCGGGCCGCGCGGGTGAAGGCCGCCCGGGCCTCGGTGCTTTCCGTGGCGGGGTGTCGGGAACGCCAAAAGGAGGTCCAAACACGACCGGTGGGACATTGACCCTTTTGAGCCACACTAGAACGAAGAACTAGTACATATATATATGTTAATATGAACCATATATGGTAACAACAGGTAGTCAAGGTTGTAGCACACGAAGTCTAAACCGCTATGGCTAACGATCGAAGGTCGACCGATCCCACACACTTGTGTGGGGGCTAGGATGGCGTAGCCGCTGACTCTTTTCCGCGCTCGAGCAGCCCGCCGCTGCGGGTTTGGTTAAGTGCATGAACATGCCTCCAAGTGTATGGATACACTTCACATTGGGGCAAAAGTGAAAAGCAAGGCTGGAGCATTTCATCTCCCACAGTCCTTGCACACTCGCCATCGCTTGGCGTGCTTGCTTACACCAAGGTGGCCACAGTTGTCTCGCAGGTGCGCGCAAGCACCTGTTGGGGTCGTGAAGACCTCTTCCGGCATGTGGCTGTAGGTCGCCAGTCCAGTCTCTTTCTTCTCACGCTTTTGCAAAAGCGCTGACAGATAGGAGACTTTCCTCTCCAACTCCTTCACCTGTGCCTGTAGACTCTCATTCTTCTCCACCAGCTCGTTCACAATGTTGCCCATCACGTCGTCCTCCTCGCCGTGATCAATCGGCTCCAACTCTGGTACAGGTTCTTCTTCACTCTTGTCGGCCGGCTCGGCCTTCTTTCTCTTTGGCTTGCACCTCCAAGCCATCACAAAGATCGCCAGGGTCATCAGCATGATCAGCAGGATCGTGGCCAGGTCAAAGAGGTCGATGTTGATGGACACGTGGTCAATGTCAGTCTTGCATTGATCCTCTCGTCCACTTGCGCTGGTCACTTGAGATGCCATCACCATCCCAATAAGCGCCTCTACCACCTTCGAGGATGTCCTCCTTGTCTCTTGAACTGTCTTTTGGCGCTCCTCCTGACTCTTCTTCTTTGCTGCTTGGTAGGACTCGTCGGCGACCAGCTGGATGTAGTGTCCCTTGTACCTTTCTGTGAAGGCCTGTCGGGCGCTGATCTTCGTCAGCCCATCAGCTAGCTGTCGCTCCGATGAGACCCATCGCCAGCTGCAATTGAGGTCTCTCAATGTCTCCTTTATCACAAGCCCTTCTATGGCAACTCTTTTATCTGTTGCCTGTTGGATGGTCTCTCTGTAGACTGCATCATAGAGGGCCTTGCAGTCCGTCACCATGGCGCTCACGCCTGTCAAGTGATGATTGAAGTTCTTGAGGTCGCAGTCCGGCTTCTTCAGTGCTTCGAGGAAGGTCTTGGCCATGAGCAACTCTTCCAACGCCGTGGCTGTTGCCTGGCATTCGGCACCCAAGCTGCTTCTGCACACGCGGGGCAGCTTGAAGGATCTCCAAGCCACAGTGCTTGCCGGGACCTTGATGCCATTGTGAACGGCTTTGTCGCAGGCCATGATGATGAAACCTCCTTGTGATGAGCCATCCCTTCGGGTTCCGAAGCCAGCGTCTGCGTAGCAGACCAGGGTCATGTTCTCCACACTGTTGATGGTGCCCTTGTTCTCATCAATCTCCTTGGCCAGGAACTTGATCGTCACATCTCCTTGGCTCTTGCCAAATCTCAGGGTCTTGTTCAGCTCGTTGACATCCTGAACTGTACCCTTGGGAACTGCACCAGCTTGCAATGACACTGATGCGGCTAACATTGGCATGCCCTGTGAACTTGGCCATTGTAGAGCTCCGATGAGTGCACGATATTTTCCTGTCTCACTTGGGCTCATCTCATCACTGGGCTTCCGTCCCTTGTTCACGGTGATAGGGCACAGCTTCCTCATGTAGTCGTGGTAGGAGACCTCGATGCCATACTTGGTCTTATAGATCTGTCCACCACAGTACTTGAGGGGCTGGTCAATGCTCAGGCGTTCCCACTTGCCAAAGTTGAAGTCACTCTGGAGGTGTTGGATCGCCTTCTTGTACTTGTCGTTGTTGGGATCACCAGTGATCAAGATGTCGTCCACGTGGATCACCAGCATTCCTATCAGGATTGCTTTTCCCTTCACCTTCTCATACATCATGAAACAACACTGGTCGAGGGGGTGATTCTTCCATCCACGGGATGTCAACCGGCTTGATGATTCTCGATACCACATCAGTGGTGCATCAGCGAGACCAAAAGCTGATTTCTTCAGCTTCATGTAGATGTGCCCTTGAGGTCCGATCTTGTCACCTCCGATCAGCGGATTGCAGTCCTTCGGCAGCTTCACAATGATCACTCTGTCGAACCCACTGCCAGACAGAAAGGCTGCTTTCACATCTCCGCAGATCAACTCCCAACGGTTCCAGTTGGTGATGCTCAGCAAACACAATCTTGCCAAGCGGCCTGTTGTTGGAGCTGCGGTTTTGATGTTCAGGAGGTCAGGATCTTCAAAGCCTCGTAGGACGAGTCTTGCCTTCGCCTTGTAGCGGGGTGGCTCTTCGGGCTTGTCCTCATTGAGTCGCTTCCAGGTCAACACCCATCTTGCAGTGATCACTCTGTGGGTGTTCACGGCTTTCTGGCTCTCCTGGTCTGTGGCGAACTCCCAGACCATATTTTGGAAGTACTGCTCCAGCTCCGAGCACTTCCCATTCACGAACTCCGCCTGTGGGCAACGATGCTATTCACAAGGGCGGTGGCGAAGGTCTGCGTGTAGTTCTCTGCAAGGACTGTCCGTGCTCCAAGACCCAAAGCATAGCCCTCGAGGTGGGTGTGCCAGTGACCTCCGCTGCACTCTTTCCACATGAGGTAATGCACAATAGGACTTGTTGTCCGCAGGCATGTAGGTTTCTGAACTGGATTGATGGTTCCAGTGTCGTCGGGGAGGATCAGGCCATACTCGCACATGTCGATGCGGGTGTCATAGCCCTCCATTCTGTTGAACGCAGGGGTGTGCCAACTTGTAGCATTCCAGGGATGCTCAACCATGGCCAGACATACACAGGACTCTTTGCCTTGTTGAGCTCCTGCATTTGCGACCATAGCTTGCGCATGGGGCTGTAGAGGATGGCATCCGGCTTCTCATCTTCCTGTTTCTTGAAGAATGCTCGTCGATGAGATGCTTGTGAGAAGTCCCAGCCATCTTCACGAGAAAATCTTGTGGCGGTGCAATTCACCCGACGGTTGGCCGTTTTTGTGACTTTTCCTTCACCAGCATAGACCTCCCAGATGGTGTAGGTCCTTGGTGGCATGAAATTCTCCAGGTCCTTGGCCCGGTAGATGTCCATGTCCAACTCCTTCATGGCACTGACCGTCTCATAGTACAGCTTGTTCAGCTGTCCAGGGTGAAGCTTGTCCAATTCCTCATTGTCCAAGACATCGCGCTGCTCTCCAGTCTTCTGTGCGGGACTGGTCTCCATCTCGGTGAGGTCAGGCGTTGTCTCTGGCACTGAATTCTCCGCAATGATGCTCACCTCAGTTTCCATGAAAGCATCTGCGGGCACTTGCAAGACGGAGTGAAGTGGCACTTGCTCGAAGATGTGGGTGTCAAAATCCTCGGGCGCAAAGACTTGGTCAGCCACTTTCTTCTCCTTCACCAGGTGGTAGTCCTCCACCAAGTGCACGATGAACTCGCCCTTCTGTCCCATGGTTGCTGGCTCAAACTTCAGGTCATCGTCGTACGCGATGATCTTGCATAGTTGATGGTGATGTTGAAGCTTTCCAAAGCTGGCCTGCCCAGCAGGCATGGAGTTGAGCCTTCCATGACATACATCAGGATGTCCCTCCTTTTGTTCTTGAAGAAGGTTGGCACCAGGACACAGAGGGTCGTGACATCGCGGTTGCCATTGCCGAAGCGCAATCCCTTCTCACACTTCCATGCAGGAATGGCTGCAATGTCGCAGCCTTTCATCAGCAATGCTTTCATCAGCCGGCGAAGTTGCTGCATGCCGATGATGACCGATGCAGCTCCACAGTCAAACATGGCAGTGTCATCGGGCTCCGACTCTGTTCCATCCTCATCGAAGATGTTCACCTCCTCGATGTTGGAGTCTATGATCATGTGGATCTCGCTCTCA